TAAGACTAAAATAGTTATCATTAATCAATTATTGAATAGTGATTATTGTGATGTTGATCAAATTCTTTAGAGTTGATCGACAGTTATTGATTAAGTAATTAATTAACAAATTCGATGAAAAGATCAAGCATTTTTAGATTAACAAGAAAAAACTTGAGATCCTTTCATGATGTACAATAGTAATCATGTTACTGATTTTTTATTTATTATTTTTGTTTACAGAATGAGTGATCATCCAAAAAAAATTCTTAACATGAAAGCTACTCAATTGAACGGATGAATCTTGATGTGAAACAAAAAAAAAATTAATCAATTGATTTAGTTTCAACATCTTATTAATTTTAATAGCTGAGATTATGAGTCAGTTGAAGCTGGACCACCATGGAGAACCTGAAAGTACTGGACGATAGTTTCATACGGTTGTGGGACTCCTCAGCAGTGCGCATCCATGATCCTACCTCGTGAGATTCGAATCCAGGATCTATCAGTATCGTGCACGAGCGCTTAACCGATAGACCACTGAGCCGGCATCCAAATGCCCTGGTACGGCTGAGAGTAGAGAAATACTGTCACATGGCCACGCATATATAGCCTCTACCAGGGAAGTCCTACTCATTGCCTTCTCATGGCATTACTGTTGTTTACAATATTGTGAAGACGAAAAGCGAATACCCGGCGCTTTAACCGGGTCGGGAAGTTGGAAAACCCTGATTCCAAACGAATGGTGCAAATGGACTCCAGTATTCTGAGAGAACAAATGGCATATGAACCAATTGATGTTCACCGGCTACCATGAGACTGCATCTCCTTACGATGCTCCACTTCCTTGTGGATCAGATCTTTAGGTCAAAGTCTCGGGTTGTGGCTCCCTAAGAAAACCACCTGCTTCAGTTTAGGCACCTAGGCAGTATCACAGCCCTCACACAAATCAAATGAGATTTGTGTGGCGCATATATATATATATATATATATATATATATATATATAACTCATAATAGGACGAAACGGCCGTCCAATGCTTCCAGGTTTTCTAGGGTGGTCTAGCTTCAATTGACTCATGATTTCAACTATGAAAATTACTATAATACCCACAAAACCCCTTCTGATATTATTTTATTGACAGAAATTTTTGTTTTTAAGAATTAATCATCTTGAATATTTCTTTTGAATTCAACTATATAAACATGTTGATATGGTAGAGATACACTTATCAATGATATTGAACAATAGTTCATTAATATTTGTATAGTAATTATCATTAACTGATCATTGTTGAATAACTATTCAAAACTAAGAATAACGATTTTCATATATACTTAAAATCATGAGTCGATTGAAGCTAGACCGCCGTGGAAAACCTGGAAGCACTGGACGGCCGTTTCGTCCTATTATGGGACTACTCAGCAGTGCGCATCGACGACCTCGCACTCACGAGATTCGAACCCAGGACCTACCAGTCTCAGCACTTGACTGATAGACCACTGAGCTGGCATCCAATGATTTTGTTGTACTATAGGATTCTTCAGATGTGTGTATACAACTGAGAACTGGTTAAGGGTTGTCATATTTTGCGTCAAGCACTTAACTTTTAGACCAATTTAGTTTTCATCATATGATTCAAATTTTCGAACTTCTATCATTTCATAACATTTTACGTTTTGAACAGTCTTTTTTCACTACATTGAAAATTTGGTAGAATCTGTAAATGTGATCTATTATAATCCGACTGTATAACCTAATGGTATCATATCTTCTTCAAGGCCTAAAGTACCGAGTTTTGACTTCATGAGTCCATCAAAACCATTAAGATCAACTATGAATTATATCACTTAATGTTTCTAAATATTTCCCAAATAAAATATGTTATATATTCCAAAAATTCATACTTTATCTTGGTTTGGTCATTTTTAGCTATTGTACTAACCCATTCATGTAATATTAAATAAGTCTATTTAGCAAAGAAGTGATTTAGCATGCTTTATAATTTCGATTGTTGAAATTCACAGCCACATTAACCTAATACGCTATCTGTTTCTAGATCTGTAGCTGTACCATCGTTATTACTCCTGTAATGGTTCTACCGTTTGCGAGGAATATGATCACAGTAAAATATCAGATTTCTCAGATTTATCTTTTCCTAACTTCATTCATTCAACGATCTTACTATCCATACTAGTCAGATTGTATTAATTCAGAATGGACTTCTATGTTACGTTATAAACTACTCATATGATGTTTTAATTCATTTTTGGCGTTTGAAGCGAAAGGTACTGGTGCGAGTCCAAGAGTGAACACCAACTCTGAGATGCAGGTACATCCAGCTGACCAGTTCCAAATAGGACGAAGCACGCATCCTGGATTCCACTGCTAGCAATTATCCATCTTTGCTTATAATGCTTGTGAATTGAGGCTATATCGAGGCAATACTCACATTATGTATATATGTCAATAAGAGACTGATCAACTGCAGTTCTTAACATCAATGGGAAGGTTCAAACAAACAATGCTAAGTGAATTTAGTATTTTATAGAGATGTAACAAACCTTGAACTTGATATTTTATAGGAATTAAGAAAATCTGTTTCGCATAAAGGCTAATTGTGAAGATAAATTTATGAAAAAAGATATAAAAAGTAATATGATATTCTTATTTACACTGAATTACTATTCATATAAACAAATGTTTACATAATGATATTCCAATAGTTATTTAACATCAATCAGTTCATGATCTCGATCAAAAACGTAACAATTTCCACAACGTCATACTAATAATTACTATGTCCTAATTAGTGACTAGCTTCATGACGGAATTCTTAGAGTTCTAGTGAGAAATCATGACCAGTGGAGCTAATCCGTTTCAGGTAGAGACAGGTATCTCTCTCAAAAAAAACAGAAGATGGTGACGTGATTTTGTGGATTGGTTGAAGTTTCACATTAACACCGTTTGATGCCGGCTCAGTGATCTAGAGGTTAAGCGTTTGCACGCGACAATGAAGGTTATGAGTTCGAGTTCCTTTGGTGCACTACTCACAAGTCCTATACTAGGACGAAACGGCCGTCCAATACTTCCAGGTTTTTAATGGTGGGCTAACATCGATCTATTCATGATGTCAACTAGAAATATTGCAATTAGTTGGAAGTAGATAAACCAATTTTGAATTGTTCCATCTTTATTTGTTTCTATAATGAAATAAGTTAATCTAATTTATAAAATAATAACTCCATACACATGTGGCTTCACTAAAGTAATTAGGTTTTTTTAAAAATCTTAAGTTCAGTTTGTTAGTGTAACTTAGTTTGCGTTTTTTTCATACACTTCTAAATTAATGTCGATATTAGTTCGTCAGTTAGATGAAATCGCATCATGTTTTGATTGCCTTGTATGGAATAATATTGTAGTTTTAAAAAGAAATTGTATTTAGGTAATTGAGTTCTATGTATGCTTAATTTCTTATACTAATTTTAACTTGGATTGGTCATACGAATATTCTTCAATATTAGAACGTATAGTTGAACAAAAATTAGGCTCCTATTATAGAGAAATCATCATAGGTGATTAATGATATTTGAAATAATCTCAACGACTGACATTTAAATAACTTCAACATTTTATCCAGTAAACTTGTCTGGACTTCTTCACCGTAGAAATTGTTAGCGTGTAACAATCAAATTTATACTGTGCTAATGTAATCCTATTTAAATGTTGGCTTTAGTAAATAGGATAACATGAGTCAATTATATTCAATCTTCTTGAATATATGTGCTACGTGTTTCTATCGTCTAGATATTTCAACAAGTTATCTGTTTTGTTTGTTTTAACATACCATTATGTCTATTAATAACATAACTTATTCAGAAGTGTTTCCGAAATATTTACAATGATTCGCTGTACAAGTTACAAAAAAGACCAATCAGAGAAGAGACATCGTGGTTGCTGGCAATATGTATCGAAAAGAATGTACATTATTCAAATGTTGATTCCTGAACTGTTAACATGTAACTCACAATCACTCAATATTTATCGTCAAAATCGATCAACAAATAAGATACGGAAACTTGTTGAAATATATTTTGCTAAAGATTCTATATTGTCAGAAGGAGTTTGTGTGGAGATTTCAGTATTTTCATAGTTGAAAGCATGAGTCAAGCATGAAGCTATATCACCAAAGAAAACGTGGAAGCGCTGAACGGCCTGATTTCAAATCTCGCGAGGCGAGATCGTGTATGCTCACTTCTGAAGAGTCTCACAATAGGACGAAACGGCCGTCCAGTGCTTTCAGGTTTTCCTTGATGGTCTAGCTTCAATTGACTCATACTTTCAACTATTCTATATTGTACTAAAAATATTGTATCGAATAAAAGTAACCATAATGATATTAATAATAATAATAATAATAATAATAATAATAATAAAATCTCCACAAAACCCCTTCTGATTATAATCATATGCTCACTAGTGACTGACTTCAAGATACATGTCCTGGAGTTCTAGTTGGAAGCAGTGATCAGTGGAGTTCAACCAGGTCTGTTGAGAGATATCAACTCACTGATGACACTGGTGAATGGTTGCTCAATTTCGTGGATCTGTTGAATTTAGACATTAACACCGTTGGATGCCGGCTCAGTGGTCTGTCGGTGGATGCGCACTGCTGAGGAGTCCTATAATAGGAGGAAACGGCCGTCCAGTGCTTCCAGGTTTTTGATGATGGTCTAGCTTCAATTGACTCATTATCTCAACTTTGAAAAATAATAATAATGATAATAGGAATATTTCACAATGTGACACATATAATCAATAATTTTATTGATCATCATTGACTGATTACTACTCTTTCAAATATAATAATTATATGAGTAGTATTTACAAAAAAAAAGAATATATATATGTATATATATACTCAATTATCATTTTCCCCTTTCATACGCGAAAAAAAGAAATCATAATAACATTTACCATTTATTCATTTGCATAGTAACTAAATTAAAATATTAATTATAATGAATAAAGAAAGTGATAATAATAATAATAATAATAATCATGAACAACAATCATCTATAATAATAAAATATATTAAACAACCATGGTTACTAATATTACATATATGTATTACATTAATTCTATTATTATGTAATACATTATCTAGTTGGTTAATTATTATTGATTTAAATAAACAAATCCCTGGTTTAGTATATGATGAAATATCAAAAATTCTAATTCATTATTATATCTTATTTAATATAATTGAATTAACTTTCAATTTAATAGAATGTATATTATGGTTTTATATAATTCAAAAAAAATTTAAATTATGGTTATTTATTGATTGTATTACAATAATCAATATTATTATAGCTGAATTACCATTAATGATTCTTAATATTTATATTAATTCATGTCAAGAATCAATATTATCATATAATTATATTATCAAAGGAATATTGATTATTTTATTGATTAGTTTACGTTTATTCATATGTTATATTTTATATATACATATAAAATTAAATGATTCATATATGAAATTAATGAATAATAATGTCATGAAAGAAAGTCAATATTTATTAAATAGTTGCCATGACGATAATAATAATAATAATGATAATGATACTAATCATTTCCTATGGAAACAAAATTATTGGTTATTAATTCAAATTTTATTATATATCAGTTTTTTTTGTTTAATTATATTTATTTGTATATTATTTCATTTATTATTGATACAATCGAATCCAAGTTATTATTTATTATGGAAGGATCAAATGAATTATTCCATATATGATCTAATAAATCATCATTATATACATGATGTAGAAATATTTTTAGAAGATAATACAAATACGAATAATAATCATAATAATAATTCAACATTAAAATGGTTACATTTAATTAGTTTAAAACAAATTATACATTTAAAATATTTAAATGCGAATGAATCGGTCACATTAAAATTTTTTAAATATGGTGGGAAAATTTTTATTGAATTTAAACAAATTATTAAATATAATAATAATACAAAAGAACATTGGAGTACATGTTGGTATATTATGAGTCAAGATTTATATAAAGAATTTATATGTCCATCATCACAACCGTCGTCATCTCCATCGTCATCGTCGTCATCATCATCCATTCAAAAAAAGATGAAATTAATTAAAGGTATTAAAATAGATTTTAGTTATGTTGAACCATCAAAGAAACAACATTTTGGTACAGTTTTATATAATATAACAAGAGTTACAAGTAATCGGTAAGAATACCCATTTTTATATTTATTTCTTATAAAAGTACAAACTATTAAATGATAAATTCATTTAGTATTGTTTGTTTGAATCTTCCCATCGATGTATTAGGACTACAATCTGGTCAGTCTCTAATTGGCATATGTGCATACTGTGCGTATTGCTACGATATAGCTTTAATTCACAAGCATGAAATAATTTTTATAATAAACAAACTGATAAATAACACGTATGTACAATGAATGATACAACTATAAAATTACTAAAATCTCCATACAAAACCCTTTCTGATAATAACCATATGCTTACTAGTGACTGACTTCAAGAAGTACTACAGGGAGTTGTAGTTAGAAATAGTGACTAGTGGAGTTCAACCAGGTCTACTAATAATTGTTCATCTAACTGTTTTTTTAACAGTCTCTAGAACAACAGTTCAAGCAAACTGTACACACATGTGAATCAATTAATCAAGGACTAGACTGACAAATAAAATATGTCAACGTTTATATAATAACTCAAAAAGAATGATTAACGGTTCATTTTATTTTAAACATACAAATTTCGATGTTTAATCCACTTCTTGTTATAGATCAAAGTATGCATTAACTAAGGTCTACTGATGGTCATATCAGATCATATTTATTAGCTTTCATTCGTTTATTATTTAAAAAAAAAGTCGAACTAGTCAACATGAATTCAGTGAAAACGAAATAGCCATGTTATAAATGATAAAAAAGCATGAGTAGTCTTTAATCTTAACTTTTGAGACTTATTAGTCAATGAAATAAATAAATGGTAAAATCATCGTTTGGATTGGTTGAAGTTGGACATTAACACCGTTGGATGCTGGCTCAGTGGTCTAGTGGTTAAGTCCTCAGGCGCGAAACTGGTAGGTACTGGGTTGGGATGTCGCGATGCGGGATGGTGGATGTACATTGCTCAGGAGTCCCACAGTACGACGAAACGACTATCCAGTGCTTCCAGGTTTTCCATGGTAGTCTAGTTTCAATTGACTCATGATTTCAACTGCAAAATTACTAAAATCTTCACACAAAACCCCTTCTGATTCAAATATTGTTGATCATAAATAGTAAATATTTTATAATTATGAAGTATTGTACTATTATAAATCTACTAAAGATTGTGTATAGAAGGACTGTTTCAATACTATAAGTCTCATATAATTTTTAAAAAAATGATGATCTGATATTTAAAAATCTTTCATTGTATCATACAACGTTTTCGTATAATAATAGAAGTTACCACATGGTCCATTAGTCTTACTGATAGTAAAGGTAATTAAAAATACTGAGAGATATTAGACGCAGGCTGTTAAGGAATGATGGTAAATCAGTTGATGGGGTTGTGAATCTTCATCGACTGAGATGGTTGGGCCACGTGCTATGTATGACTGAACACCGATTACCACGATGCGTAATGCTGACTAGTGTTGGGGCTGGATGTAAGAAAGTTAGGGTCGGCCAAACCAAAACGTGCCACCAGTCCTTGAAGTCACTAACCTCTAGTCTGAGCCATGTTGGTACATGCAGACTACTGGTTGGGGTTTGCATGACTATCGTAACCATTGGTTGTAGACTCTGTGTGACATGGATCAGAATCGATCACAATGGTTTAGGTGTATACATTCTCTGTCTTCCCTTAAACCGTAAGACTGAAATTATCCTATACCTTCCTTTCTACAAACTAATTCTTTTCCCTGTATCATACCCTTTTATGAAACCTTTCTTTTGTATATTACTGCCATCGAAGTAACTACTTCTATGAATTTGGTATTCATGTTGTTGTGCTAGTGAGGTGTGACAACTTGGACCGATGCATTTATGTGTCTGGATGACTGAGGAAATCCCTAAAGAGAAGGAAACTTTGTATGATATATTCATTTCTCTACATTTCTACAACATTACAATGATAAACAATGAGTTCGGTGAATATTACATCACCAAATGAATCGTTTTAGAAAGTTTTCACAAACTTTGGATGGTGTTGTTCAAAAACTATTTATTCATATAATCTAAGATCTTACAATTAAAGATTAGTTCTAGAAAATTCAAAAGCAGTCACCACAGAAATAAGCAGCTTTGCATAAGACAAAATGATCAATCCCTTTTTCATTAGTTAATCATATACGTCGAATAACTAGCATCCTATAACTCATATATTAGTTAGAATATACTGATATTATATGAGCATTAATTTGACTGTAAGAATGTGATAAGGTTGAGACTAGTTAAATGTTCAAAATTTTTATGAAATTCCTTTCACAGTTGATTTCTGCTTAGAGATCAAAGGGCAACGATATTCAGACGGTTAATGTGAATAGAAAATTCAACAATAATGAGCAACAACTAACATGGTTTCTCCTGAAAAATCTTCATATAAAGTAAATTTAATATATTTATAACATTAACAACAGTTAAGGGTTTACTTTGTCCAGCTTACTGATTATCTGAGTACTGTGATGTATGTTGAAATATATCAACATGGTACTGAGCTTATTTTACACATCATATAAATCAATCTGGTAAGTGTACATACAATGTAACCGTTTTTAGTAAACTGTTCATAGACGACGTCTACTCATTCTTGCTTGGTTAATTAGGTGCTGGTAAACAGCTGAGAACTATACGGTATAGTAAAAAGATATTTGAATGATACTAATTCATTATAAAGTAAAATAAGCTAAGTGTTATTCTCTTGAAACTCTTTGTTAGTAGTATGTTCTGATGAATATATTATAGGTACATATTATGTTAACTTATGTAGAATCAACATTTGACAATTAGAAATTAAACAGGATCTACTGAAATGAATTTTCTTCTGTGAGGTACTCCCAGTAAATTTATTGGTAAATAAATTTAATTTCATAATGATTATATATAAGAGCTTTCGTCTAAACTAAAGCGAATAGTTTCACAGTATTTGTGCGCCAAGTTGATGTAAGACACATTAAATAGGAATAATATATTTGTAAAATCTCACGCAAATGAATTTGAAGTAAATCCAACGTTTCGCCTGGCAATCTAGTCCAAACTTTTTCAAGGGAATATATATGTTTTACTAATCTTATTTCGTACTTTAAGCCTATACCATCAGTTAGATGGTTGTAATTCATTAAATATATACTAAACTTGTTATAAGTGCTAGATATATAAAGAAATCATTACCGGTTATTAGATAATAAACATAAGACCTGTGGATGAAATACAGTACGTATCAAATAGTTGTAATTGAAGGAAAATATTAAGATATAGTTAACGATATTTAAAGCTATTAATTTAATTCACTAGTTTCAAAAACTACTAGTCATGTGTTCTTCTGAATTTTCACTTTTTATTCTATAACATTTTATTAACTTACAGGTATAAAGTTCAAGAACACGAATTAAAGTTAAAATATTTCCAAAACACAATTGTTCATTTTTCTTCTAAAAAAGCGTCGGGATTACAAGGTAACCATGATCATGATGAATGGTCAAGTGGTCCGTTTAGATCAAACAATCTTGAAGTTGATGATCAGCAGTACACAAAATATAAAAGTTCAGACCTTGTACCTATTAAGGAATTGTGGAAAACTGGTGTTGCAAAGTGTCAAAGTACTGCACCTATAGGACCACAGAAGATGTAAAACGATTTTGTGTCATTTGTTTACTTCGTTAATAAACTTATTCGTTAACTAAAAAAGTGTTTTGTTTAAGTATCTTCTTAGTAACATTAGGTATGGTTAAGTTTAGCATGAAATAATCGGCTACTAGAAAATGGTTATAACCAGGGAAGAATTAGTCTTGATGTTGAAACAGCCTCTTGTGGATGTTACATACATTTCTCTTTACGACGTTACCAGCTGAGTCAACGGTAAAATTGATGGAATCTGTACAAAACAATTTATTTAACTTAATCAACAGATTTTACCCAGAAGGTCAGGGCTCATATTTTCATCCTTGAGTCCTTGGTGAAACTCACTTTCAATCAAGAGATTTATAGAAAGATTGCATGTTCGTCAGCTACATTCCCTTGCGGGGAAAAGTAATTAATTTTTTTGTAACATTACTGGAAACTAGGTTACCGAAGTTCGTCCGTTGGTTTACCAATGCAAACTTGCTGTAAGTAAATTTCAACGATTTATTAACCTTTCCTGCTTAACAAAAAATTGAAGATTTTGTCCTCTTTCCATCATAATAGTGAATCTGGCTGCTATTTAATGTCGTTCAAAATACATTTGCTATCACAGGTAACTAAAGTATCATTCATGTTCTTTTAATAAACTTAAAAATAGTCTACCATGGCATGGCCGTCGCTGCAACCTTGACGTAGTAGTTGAACTTGCCTGTCGTGATGAACCGATCCAGCTATACTGGTTGGAAAATTCGTTCCTCAATGTCCTACCATGCCAGACAGGTCGGTTGAAGGGCGATGAGACTAAAAGCAGCAAACCCAAGATCTGAAGGTGTAGTCGTACTGCCAACTGTACAGAGCTGTGACGGCACTAAGGTGTTTCCTTCAGACAACCAGCATAACAGCGATGCTTCTCTCCCATAACAACGATGGTGCCTTCCCATAAGGAGGGGTGGGGTTAGAAAAGATTTCCCCTAAAAATGCGCACCTCGCCTTATCCCACGGATATCCGTCTCCGGTGGTTAAGTCTCAACAAGGACGGAACTGACACAAAAATTACCCACAAAAAAGTCATGTCTGATCGACCTCAAGCAGTTGTCCCTTGGACACTGAGGTCACGCACTCAGGTCATTAAGACAACTTCTAATCCAATTTTCCTTTCAGGTACTTTTAAAAGAACCCTTCCACGGTGTTGGCAACCGAGAAGTGATAACTGCCCTCATACCTCTAACACCACTCAAGACCACTGTATTCATAATCATTCTCCTTCTTCACTTCCCACTATTCCTTCTACCTCAACTTTCAGCACTAAACTTCCTCTTTCGGTTTCCTCCTCAAGTGTCACCATGGCCAACGATTCTAGTGCGCGAAACGCTGTCCCAGGTCTACTAAAACCTCGCTCCAAACTACACATTGGAGCCTTCAATGTACGTACCCATAGTCAAATCGGTCAACAGGCCTCCCTGGCTAAGACCTTAGAATCTCGTACCATCAATGTATGCTGTTTTTCCGAAACACGCATACAGGATCCCAGTGTGGTCGTTCACTTGACCTCATCTCGCCAAAACAGAGAGCTGACGAGATACACACTTCGTGTACCTGGCCATTCTACGGCTAGTTCTCGTGGACTTGCAGGTGTGGGCATAGCACTTACTACAAGGGCAGAACAAGCACTATTAGAATGGATCCTCGTTAACAGTCACCTGTGTGCTGTCCTGTCAAATGACTCCGTGAGAACTCGGAAGGATAGGGACACACGTCGTTGCCTTTTCGTCGTTTCTGCTACGCTCCCACTGACCGCAGCCCGAATGAAGTGAAAGATGGCTTTTACAGAAAGCTACGCCCTCAGACATAGTGGACGTAGCGGGTGACTTTAATTCCCAGGTAGGCAGCTTAAATCAAACAGAAAGACATTTATGTGGGTATTTTAGTATTCCGGCTCAACGAACCGATAATGGTGATCATCTGTTGCAACTATGCTCAGACAATCGTTTAGTTTTATCAAGCACTAATTTTAAGCATAAGGCGAAACATCGTCTAACATGACGACCCACTGCACCAAACCAACGATGGACTCAAATAGACCATATTGCCATCAGTCATCGTTGGAGACGCTCGATAGAATATTGTCGCTCGTTCTGGAGTACATGCTTAGACTGTGAATATGCTTTAATGCGAGCATGCATTTGTTTGCGCCTCACTGGACGCAGGAACACCACACTAAGAAGACCCATTAAAATTGAATTGGAGGACGAAAAAGCCAAAAGCAAGTTCCAGGAACAGCTGAGTTCATAATTAGGCAGTTCTGTAAATCAGGCTAACCCAGGTGTTGCTTGGAAAGATATACGAACAGCTGTGTAAACGGAAGTAACATCTATTAGTAGTCTAAACGAAAGGGTTCCCGAAAGCCAATGGACTTCTTCTAAGTCTATTGCTTGAATGGATTCTCGTAAACTCATCCCATCAGGCTCTGAACACGATGAAGAGTGATAGAAAATCAGATCTCGGTTAACCAAAAGTCTACGAAAAGATTAAGTGCAGTGGTGGACAACGAAAGCAGAAGAAATGGAAATGGTAGCGGCTGTAGGCAACACGAAACAACTCTTCAGACTTATAAAATAAACCAGAATTAAGAAGTCAAGTGTGAGTAAGACAATCTCGGAAAAAAGATGAGCCTCTCATCTGCTTTCAGCCCAGACGTTTAGAACGATGGGCGCAACACTTTAGAGGACAGTTTAGCTGTCCTCCAGGTACTCGACAGTTGCCCACCACTCCCAAGCAGTCTGAATGGAACATTAAAGTAGGTCCCCCGACCCTACCTGAGGTTCAAAAGGTTATAGCTAATCTGAAACGAGGAAGAGCAGCTGGTCCAGATGAATTGGTTCCAGGGGTATTTAAGTATGATGGTCCAATTTTAGTGATCAGGTTGACTAATATTTTAGCTAAAATCTGGGAGTTCGACGTAATCCCGTCTCACTGATCACAACCACTTATTATTCCAATATATAAGAAGGAGTCAAAATCATCCTGTGATAACCACAGATGGAAGAGTAATATAGCATCTAAAATCCTAGCCTCAATAATTATCGGGTGCCTAAATAAGACTCATGAATTGTAAACACGAGAAAAGCAGGCTGGCTTCAGACCAGTCATAGTTGCATCGCCTACATATTCACTATTCGTCAGGTTTTAGAGCACAGACATGTTTATCGGCGTCCAACGACGATAGCTTTTCTTGACTTAAAAGCAGCATTTGACTCTGTAGATCGAGAGGCTCCGTGGCAGTGTCTGTCATTGAAAGGTGTACCTCAAATGCACATAAACCTCGTGAAGACTTTTTACTCGAACACTACCAGTCGAGTGAAAGCTTATGGCAAAGTGATCTGATTCTACAACCTCAAGTGGTCTCCAATAAGGATGTCCACTTCCCCCATTTTCGTTTAACTTCATTACAGACCTATTGCTGGAAATAACACTCTCGTCGACTGGATTTTCAGGAATTGATCTTGTACCAGGAAGTTTACTTATCTACTTAGAATACGCAGATGACATAGACCTGTTTGGTGAAAATGTTGACAAAATGCAGTGTTTTGGTAGCACTGAGTAACAATGCAAGGATATTTGAAATGCGTTTCTACCCCTTTAAATGTAAATTGTTACTCCAGGACTGTCCTGCGTCAACACCTGAACTAAGGATAGGGAGCGAAGTAGTCGAATGCTTCGACAACTTCATTTATCTTGGAAGTCTGATCAGCCCTAATGGGTTGGTGTCTGACTAAATCTGAGCACGGATTCAAAAAGCTCGTTTAGTTTTTGCCAGCTTATGTCACTTATGGCGAAGACGAGATATCCGTCCGACGAGTATACTGCGCAGCAGTTCGCCTTTTTCTACTTTGCGGCTGTGAAACGAGGCCATTTAGAGTAGAAGACGCTCGTAAGTAACCAGTATCTGACCACAGATGTCTTAGAAATATTGCTCGCATCTGCTTGGATCACCAGGTAAGTAATAGTAAGGTTAAACACAGGGTATTAGGAATGATAGTAAATCAGTTGATGAGATCATAAATCTTCATCGATTGAGATGGTTGGGCCATGCCTGAACACCGATTACCGCAACGTGCTATGCTGACTAGTATGGGCGGCCAAACCAAAACATGGCATCAGTGCTTGAAATCACGAACTTCTAGTCTAAGCCATGTTGGTAGATGCAGACTACCTGGTTGGGGTCCGCGTGACTATCGTAACCAATGGTTAGAGACTGTGGGTGACATGGCTCAGAATCGATAACATTGGCGCAGGTGTATACACTATTCATCTTCCTATACACTTGAGATTAAAATTGCTTCATATCTGTCTTTCTTCCTTATATACAACCTTTCTTTTATATATTAACACCACTAAATTAACTACTTTTATGAATTCGGTGTTGATCTTGTTGTGCTAATGAGGTATGGCAACTTGGACCGATGTATATATGTGCCTGGTCCTACGCTGTGGCTGACTAAATGAGTCTGCCATGATATTTGTCAACTTCTCAACATACTTTAGCCACTGGATTACAATACAAAACTCAAATTGTAGGTTGAAGACCCATCCTAATAATGATTTTTCTACAAAAGTGAATATTATTGTAAAAGGATACGTTTTTGTATGTGAAATATCAGTAAATAATGAATTAATGACAAGGGAGTTCATGCATTTCTGATGTTGATATGTAATAATTATATATTTGAACATCCTCCCATGTTTTTTACGAACTCCAAATAGTATAACTCTGTTTGTGTTTACGGAGTTCTCTCTGAATCGAATACAGATCTATTGGTAGCTACCAGAGTACGATATGAAGAGTTCTGAGAATTACCGAATTCAACTTCTACTATTACTACTACTGATAATAATAATAATTTTATGATTGCTTCTACCAGCTTTTTTCATGAGGTCAACTAATTTAAGTTACTCAGATGATATATAGCATTAAGTAAATAGTCTAAAATACTTTATGGTTTTAATTAT